CGCGAAGTAGTGAACACTGTCGATAAAGGGTTTTGCTCTTGAGATTGCTTGGAAATAAAACATAATTAATGTATTACGTTTGAGAGGAGTAAATCAGTGAGCTGACGTTCCCTTTTTATCTTTGCATTGTAGGCAGGTCCACATTACTTCAGTGCGTAAAACCCCCTCCATTATGTAGCTACGTGTCCATGACCATCATGAAACGAGAGATAGGAGAACCTCTGTGAATACCGGTATTCCTCGTATTAGAAGAAGTTATCTGTAACCTGTAAAAATGGCTTGTTTTAATTTTCATAGGTTCCAAACCCAAGCCCTCCTCAGGCCTTCTATAACGAAGGTTCAACAACAACCCAAGCCCTCCTCAGGCCTCCTATAACGAAGGCTGGTTCAACAACAACCCAAGCCCTCCTCAGGCCTTCTATAACGAAGGTTCAACAACAACCCAAGCCCTACTAAGGCCTCCTATAGTGAAGGTTCAACAACAATCCCGGCGATTTTATCATATCTTTACATTTTCCCAAAAAAGTGTATTGCTTGTTTTTCATTTAATTTTTATACAACCAAACGTATTAGAATGTTTCACCTTCCTGGATTTATGGTGACACAGTCCGTGGCGTGCTTGCAGTGCAACTTCTGGAGTTCTCTGAATGCGATCTGATCTGTAAAATGGTTCCGATTATGTTCATAAAACATATGCCTACTCTGTCTTCGGGAAAGTATTCAGACCCCTTGACTTTTTCCACATGTTGTTACGTTACACCCTTATTCTAAAATGGATTAAATAGTTTTTTCCCCTCATCAATCTACACACAATACCCCATAATGAAAAATCAAAAACAGATTCTCAATTGGATTGAGGTCTGGGCTTTGACTAGGCCATTCCAAGACATTTAAATGTTTCCCCTTAAACCACTTGAGTGTTGCTTTAGCAGTATGCTTAGGGTCATTGTCCTGCTGGAAGGTGAACCTCTGTCCCAGTCTCAAATCTCTGGAAGACTGAAACAGGTTTCACTCAAGAATTTCCCTGTATTTAGCGCCATCCATCATTCCTTCAATTCTGACCAGTTTCCCAGTCCATGCCGATGAAAAACATCCCCACAGCATGATGCTGCCACCACCATGCTTCACTGTGGGAATTGTGTTCTCGGGGTGATGAGAGGTGTCGGGTTTGCGCCAGACTTAGCGTTTTCCTTGATGGGGAGTCTCCAACATGCCTTTTGGCGAACACCAAACTTTTTTTCTTTTTTTTTTCTTTAAGCAATGGCTTTTTTCTGGCCAGACTTCTATAAAGCCCAGCTCTGTGGAGTGTGCGGCTTAAAGTGGTCCTATGGACAGATACTCCAATCTCCGCTGTGGAGCTTTGCAGCTCCTTCAGGGTTATCTTTGGTCTCTTTGTTGCCTCTCTGATTAATGCCCTCCTTGCCTGGTCCGTGAGTTTTGGTGGGCGGCCCTCTCTTGGCAGGTTTGTTGTGGTGCTCCGTGGGATGTTCAAAGTTTCGGATATTTTTTTATAACCCAACCCTGATCTGTACTTCTCCACAACTTTGTCCCTGACCTGTTTGGAGAGCTCCTTGGTCTTCATGGTGCCGCTTGCTTGGTGGTGCCCCTTGCTTAGTGGTGTTATAGACTCTGGGGCCTTTCAGAACAGGTGTATACATACTGAGATCATGTGACAGATCATGTGACACTTAGATTGCACACAGGTGGACTTTATTTAACTAATGATGTGACTTCTGAAGGTAAATGGTTGCACCAGATCTTATTTAGGGGCTTCATAGCAAAGGGGGTAAATACATATACACGCACCACTTTTCCGTTATTAATTTTTTTGATTTCTTAGAAACAAGTAATTTTTTTCACTTCACCAATTTGGACTATTTTGTGTATGTCCATTACATGAAATCCAAATAAAAATCAATTTAAATTACAGGTTGTAATGCAACAAAATAGGGAAAAAAACCAAGGGGAATGAATACTTTTGCAAAGCACTGTATATTCAGGTCTCTCCAGAGATGTTCGATCGGGTTCAAGTCTGGGCTCTAGCTGGGTCTTGGCTGTGTACTTAGGGTCGTTGTCCTGTTGGAAGTTGAACCTTCGCCCCAGTCTGAGGTCCTGAGCGCTCTGGAGCTGGTTTTCATCAAGGACTTCTCTGTGCTTTGCTCCGTTCATCTTTCCCTCGATCCTGAGTAGTCTCCCAGTCCCTGCTGCTGAAAAACATCCTCACAACATGATGCTGCCACCACCATGCTTCACCGTAGGGATGGTGCCAAGTTTCCCCAGACGTGACGCTTGGCATTTAGGCCAAAGTGTTCATTCTTGGTTTCATCAGACCAGAGAATCTTATTTTTTCAAGGTCTGAGAGTATTTAGGTGCCTTTTGGCAAACTCCAAGTGGGCTGTCATGTGCCTTTTCCTGAGGAATGTCTTCCGTCTGGCCACTCTACCATAAAGGCCTGATTGGTGGAGTGCTGCAGAGATGGTTGTCCTTCTGGAAGGTTCTCCCAACTCCACAGAGGAACTCTGGAGCTCTGTCAGAGTGATCATCGGGTTCTTGGTCACCTCCATGACCAAGGCCCTTCTCCCCCGATGGCTCAGTTTGGCAGGGCGGCCAGCTCTAGGAAGACTCTTGGTGGTTCCAAACATCTTCTATTTAAGAAGATATGTTCTTGGGGACCTTCAATGCTGCAGAAATGTTTTGGTACCCTTCCCCAGATCTGTGCCTCGACACAATCCTGTCTCATAGCTCTACGGACAATTCCTTTGACCTCATGGCTTGGTTTTTGCTCTGTCATGCACTGTCAACTGTGGGACCTTATATAGACAGGTGTGTGCCTTTCCAAATCATGTCCAATTAATTGAATTTACCACAGGTGGACTCCAATCAAGTTGTAGAAACATCTCAAGGATGATCAATGGAAATAGGTTGCAACTGAGCTCAATTTCAAGTCTCATAGCAAAGGGGCTAAATACTTATGTAAATAAGGTATTTCTGTTTTTTATTTGTAATTAATTTGCCAACATTTCTAAAAACCTGTTTTTGCTTTGTCATTATGGGGTATTGTGTGTATTTATTTTTTATTTAATCCATTTTAGAATAAGGCTGTAACATATCAAAATGTGGAAAAAGTCAAGGGGTCTGAATACTTTCCGAAGGCACTGTATTTTGGAGCAGTATAATGGTGAGGGGACATTCTCGCTTTCTCTTTATATTGGATCCGAAGCAACCATATATTTTGGAGCACAATCTGATTGGCCAGTGATGGGCCAAGTCTCAACACACCCACGACTTGTTTATTCATCAAAACCCAGCCCTTTCGCGCCAACGCCAGCAAGTGCGCCGATAACTGTAACAGTGAAAAGAAATAGCAAAATATTTCTGACACACCCCTGAACCTACCGCCTGTGCTTAGATTTACCATTGAGTTAAAGTAGAGCCATGAAGATGCATTGTGAGAATAGGATAATAGGAGATGAGTGGATGGGAGAGAGAGAGAAATATAGATACAGTAGAGAGAGGGAAAGAGAGAGAGACAGGAAGACAGACAAGGTAGAGAGAGATAAAGAGAGAGAGAGACAGACGTAGAGAGGGGGAGGGGAAACAGAGAGAGACAGACGTAGAGAGGGAGAGAGGAAACAGAGAGAGAGACAGACGTAGAGAGTTAGATGGGAAACAAGAGGAACGTAAGAGGGAGAGAGTAACAGAGAGAGAGACGTAGAGAGGGAGAGGAACATAGAGAATACATACTAGAGATGATGGTAAACAGAGAGAGAGAACCGACGTATAGATGGGAAGAACAAGAGATAACAGAAATTAGAGAGGGAGAGAGGGAAACAGAAGAGAGCTAACGTAGAGGAGATAGAGGAAACAGAGAGAGATGACGTCGAGAGGGGAGGGAAAAAGAGAAGACGTAGAGAGGGGAGAGGAAACAGAGAGAAGGGCGGGAGAGGGGGAGGGAAACAAGAGAGACAAGTAAGAGGGAGAAGGGGAAACGAGGGGAGAACAGAGTAAGAGGGGGAGAGAGGAACAGAGAGAGAACGTAGAGAGGGGGAGGAAAAAGAGAGAGAACGTAGAAGGGGGGAGAGGAAACAGAGAGAAAAGAAGAGGGAGAGAGGGGGGGGAAACAAAGAGAGACAGCTGAAGGGGGAAGGGAAACAGAGAGAGACGAAAAATTTAAAAGGGGGAGAGGAAAAAGAGAGAGAGACGGAGAGGGGAGGGGAAACGAGAGAGGACTTGAGAGGGAGGAGGAAAAAGAAGAAAAACGAAGGGGAAGGAGGGAAAAAGAGAGAGGAGACAACTTAAAGGAAAACAAGAGAACAATTAGAGAGGGGGGGGGGAAACAGAGAGGAAAAATAAGAGGGGGGGGAAACAAAAAGAACAGCGTAAGAGGGGGGGAAAAACAGAAAAACAACGTAAGAGGGAGAGGGAAAAAAAGGAAAACCTAGAAGGGAGGGGAAAAAAGAGAGGAAGAGGGGAAACGAAAGAGGGGAAAAAGGGGGGAGAGGAAACAGAAGAAAAGACAGACGTAGAGGGGAGAAGGAAACGAGAGAGGACGTGGGGGGGAAGAGGAAAACAAGGGGGAGGAACAGAATTTAAGAAGGGAGAGAGGGAAACAGAGAAAGACAGACTAAAGGGGGAGAGGGCCCCGAGAAGAGCAGCTAGAGGGGGGGAGGGGACAGAGTAAAAGGGGAGAGAAAGGAAACAGAGAGGGGGGGAAAAACCGAGAGGAG